AAAGATTTACCACGAGGAATTGGCTCAGGTAATTATGGAGGCTGAGAAGTTATATTTATATAATTTCTCAATTTATATATATATCTCTCCTATTGGTTCTGTTTCTCTAGGTAACCCTGACTAATACAGTGTCTTTAAAGGAATTTATCCATCTATCTGGGCTAATTTGTTGGCATACAACTGTTAATAGTATTCTACACTCCATTTTATTTCTGTAAAGTCAGTAGTAATGTCTCCTCTATTTCTGATTTTGGTGCTTTGAGTCTTCTCTATTTGTTACTTGGTCCACCTAAAAGGTTTGTCAATTTTGTTGATCTTTTCAAAAAGCTAACTTTTGGCTTCACTAATTTTCTCTATTTTTTTCTATTATCTCATTTATTTTCCCTCCAATCTGTTATTTCTTTTATTCTGCTTGTTTTGGGTTTATTTTTCTCTTCTTTTTCTACTTTCCTAAAATGTAAGGTTAGGTTATTGATTTGAGATTTCTTATTTTCTATTAAATAATATAAATGTTTATAGTTATAAATTTCCCTGTAAGCATTGCTATAGCTGCCTTTCATAAGTTTGGATATGTTGTTTTCATTTTCATTCATCTCAAAACATTTTCTACTGTCCTTTGAAGTATCTTCTTTGATTCTTTGCTTATTTAGAAGTATTTTGTATAATTTCTACCTATCTGTGAATTCCCAACATTTCCTTTTATTATTTATAATTTATTATTTATTATATTATAAATTTATTTATTTATTTATTATTTATATTATATTTATTATATTATAAATTTATTATATTATAAATTTATTATATTATAAATAATATATTATTTATAAATAATTTATTATTTATAATTTCATTCCATTGTGGCCAGAGAACATACTTTATACAATTCCTTAAATGCCTGTACCAAATGAGTTTCTTACACTTCACTGAGGAGCTCTGTGTATGTGTGTGAGGGCCACAGGCCTTACATGCTCCGGCATGCAGTTTATAACTCTGTCTTAGGCTTCACTTTCTGCTTGCACAAAGCCTCAAGGTCAGCTAGAGGTGAGAGTTTAGGGCCGGCTCAATCCTTTCCTGAGCATGCGCATTGCCCTGGGCATGGGCACAGCCCTCCACGTACCCATGACCTTTCAGATTCCCAGGGATATGTTGGAGGTTTCTAGTGCCCACTAGGGGATCTCCTTCCTCAGCTTTTCCTTTTAAGATTTTTAGTCAGCTTCTTGCTCACTCAACTGTTACTGCCGCTTCAGTTAGCTGTGATGCTAAATAAATGTTGCTGATTGTTTTTGATAAATACCCAGGTTTTTTTTTTTTTTTTTTTTAGATGGAGTCTCGCTCTGTCGCCTGGGCTGGAGTGCAGTGGTGCGATCTCAGCTCACTGCAAGCTCCGCCTCCCGGGTTCACGCCATTCTCCTGCCTCAGCCTCCCGAGTAGGTGGGACTACAGGCGCCCTCCACCACGCCTGGCTAATTTTTTGCATTTTTAGCAGAGACGGGGTTTCACCGTGTTAGCCAGGATGGTCTCGATCTCCTGACCTCGTGATCTGCCCACCTCGGCCTCACCAAAGTGCTGGGATTACAGGCGTGAGCCACCGGGACCGGCCATAAATACCCAGGTTTTTTAAAAAGGCTACTTGCACTGAGCAAGGTCTGAGTCAGGTGAAATAAATGTAAGTACTTAGAATGGGAGTTTAAAGGGAAGTGCCAGACGGGTCACATAATGACAATACTGTGAGAATTGTTGAGACATGGGAGCCTCAACCCTGATCTGCTCCCTCCAATGCCTGCTAGGCTGCTGGTTTTCACCCTGATTTGAGCAGCTGTTGGCTTTTAAGACTATTCTGGAGCTGAGAAGAGGGAGATGGGTATAGGGCAAGTTAAAATGCCACACAGCTTGCTATTCTTACCAAGATTCAGCTGTTTTTCTTCATTAAACACTCCTTGGATTGTTACAAGCCTTTAATTTCCCCGTCCAAAGAAGTTGATTGTGACAACTTTTGTCAGTATTTTGTTGCTTTTATGTAGGACTGTATTTTTGGAGATCCTTCCTCTGCCATTCCTGCTGATGTCCTAATTTCTTACTTTTAAACTAAAAATATACAGACTTGGAAAGTCTATTATTTTCTACCCACATTCCAGTACATCATCCAGTGCACCCCATTTGGGAGGCTACCAGTATAAAATAAAATCTTCCTTCAAAAAACTCAGTTGAGGTTTATATTCTCTCTGAAGGGCATCACATGATTAGGACGAGTCCTCCTGCCTTTTCCAGACCTCCTGTGGCAGCTCCATTCTCTTGGTCCGCTGGATTGAAACTCAGAATTAGCTGACACTTCCCTTCCTCTCCTGCTCCCACATTCCCTCAAGTCTTCCCTCACAATCTTATCCACACATGACCCTCCTTTTCCATTACCAATGTACCTTTGTCTCTTGCCTGCCACCATCTCTACCCTGTTTACCAACAGTAAATGAATCTTCATATAAATGTCAGTTTGATGAGTTTGCTCCAGGGGCTCAGAGGTGTCCACCAAACTCTTCTTGCCTTCTGGATAAAACATAGCCTTTTTAGTGTGGCTGTCCAGGTTTTCACAATCTGGACCCAACTTGAACTGGAAGTCATACAACTTGGGTTCTGACTCCAGTTTAGTTTGTTTCGATTGCACAGAGATATAGGGCAATATTGAGTGCCCACTATATGCTGAACCCATAGTTCAGGGAGATATAGATACGTAAACCTCTAGTTACGATATATTGTAGCCAAGAACTAGGTAGAAGAATCAATTAAGAAGACATCTGAGGCCGGGCATGGTGACTCACACCTGTAATCCCAGCACTTTGGGAGCCCGAGGCGGGCGGATCACCCGAGGTCAGGAGTTTCAGACAGGTCTGGCCAACATGGTGAAACCTTGTCTCTACTAGAAGTACAAAAAAAAATTAGTTGGGCGTGGTGGTGCATGCCTGTAATCCCAGCTACTTGGGAGGCTGAGGCAAAAGAACTGCTTGAACCCAGGAGGGAGAGGTTGCAGTGAGTTGGGACCGTGCCATTGCACTCCAGCCTGGGCAACAAGAATGAAGCCCAGTCTCAAAAAAAAAGAAGACATCTGTGAAAGCGTCTTTGAAAAGTATAAAAAATTGCATTCAGTAGATAAAGAAGAACAAACAACTATAATATCTCATGATTGTTATCAAAATAATTATAAACAAAAATAAATAGAAATTATAAAGATGCTCAGTTTTTATTACCTATTTAGTCTTGGTGTCTTCATTTGAATAATGGTTTGGGCAACTTAATGAGAATAAATGCTTTATTACAGGTGAACATTTTGTGGGGTACCTTTTATAAATAGAGTTCTATAATCACACTGTGAAACGTTAATGATTACTGATACCTCGCCTTCATAATAAAAAACAACCAGATGAGAAAAAAAGCAGTTACTTACGCTCTGCTTTTAACTGTCCAAGGATGGAATTTTCTCCTCTGCACATGGTTCTGAAAATATATAAAGGAAAAAAATAATTACAGAGGTTTCAAGACAACCAATCCCATGCAGTATCTGTAGGTTTAATTCTAACACAAGTAAAAACAGAACAAGTGCTTCCATGAGAAGATGCTACATATATTTCTAAATGCTAAAAAGTTACATGAATATCACTTTTGTTACTAATGGGACATGATAGTTGTTTTGAGTTGGGTAAATAGAAACGTTATAAAATTCATGTCAGATTTTAGAAAGAGAGGCTATTGAAAAACGATGGGTCATGAATGAACTTTCCCTCTTACAAAACTGGATAACAGCAAAGATAAATTTAGAATGCATCAGTAGATAAGAATACTTACAGAATCACATTGCTCTCAGAGGTGAAAAGGGCAAGCACTTAGCAGAATAATTTACGAATTAAACTATTAGAATGGGCTGTCTCTAAAGTCAGCAAAACCACTTAAAAATGAAAAATATAGTCTTAGATAAAGGACTCTGCTAATGATTTTGTTTCTTAAGACTCTGATAATCGTTCATGAATTATAAAATCTGACAAAACCAAAAATTCTATGCTTCATCTGCTTGTTCTATGAGAGTAATAAAGAGTATACTTATGCCTGAGAAATGCTGATATTATTAAAGATGATGCCAGCAAATAGAGATGTTTTTGCATAGTAAAAGGTTATAGATTTTGTTTCTGAACAAAAGCCAAATGTGTTATTTCGTTCAGCTGGTTCGAAGGCAAGAAAATAGTCATAGGAAACAATTACAATTGACAATATTGCAAAAATAATATTAGAATGGTGAATGAAATTGATAAAATTCAATTAAACATTATGTCAGAGCCTTAAATACTTGAAAAGCTTTTTTTATCATTTTGTAAATCAGATAATATTAGAAATGTGCAAATCTTCAGTCCAAGTATATAGGCCAAAGCACAGTTAAAGCTCCCTTGTACTGCAACAAGGCAAAGCACTCTGAAGGAAACAAACAAAATATATCCTTGAAATGCTGGCAGATAAACAGATACAAGTCTGAAACATCAGTGAGAAAAAAGAGCATTAAAAAAAAATTTCCACTACAATGGTGCACTCAAACTGGGCACAGATCCTCCAGCAGGAGAATCTGGGGAGGGGGCCCAAGCAGGAGGGCATCTAAGCCTCCACCCCGATTTGACCAAGGCCCTGACCCCTAATCTGCTTTACTTACCAAGGGTTCTATGTAAGGTATCGTTCGTCCTCTCCCACCTTTCAAAAGGGTTTGATTAGAAAGGTGAGAAACTACAGGTGGTTCACAAAAATAAGAGATTTTGGTTAAGTGACCCTGAAATAAGGTCAGAGGTGCCTTTCCAGCCCCTTCTATGCAGGCTCTCTAGCCTGTGCTCCCCCCAGCCACCAGCTAGCACTTTCTAGCCCTTTTCACAATGCTCCACTGACCATATCTGAAGCCTTAAGAGGAACCCAAGTGTGCCCTTTTAAATACATATAAAAACTCAGCTTTTAAAAATATCAAGCACAAAACTTTCCCTAACATTTTAACAAAGATGTGGTAGAGAAAACAAAATTCCGGAAATGTATTTACTAACAGAAGCTATCATTATCAACCTTGTTGAAGGACTTGCTACCTAAAGAATCATAACCAAACACAAGCAAATCATACCATTTCAGGCATTTATTTTTTCTCTATTTACTGCAAAGTACATGTAAATCTCAATAGCTATTTAACCACTTAAAGATAAGTTTCAATCAACATTATACATATATAGAAATAGACAATAACTATACAAGAGGGACTAATATTTTAGTTCGTTTATGTTTGCCATGTGTCTTAGGCCAATCATTTATCATTGTAGACTCCATTTGAATTTTACCAACTAGCAAACAGGCCAAGATTTGAAAGTAAGATAAAGTGTTCATTCGTTCCCCATTCCACTGAATGGAGGCAGAGAAACACTGCCATTCTCTTCATCAGCTTACACGCATGATCCAAAGCTCAAAACAGACCATTTAGAGTTTTGGCACCTGTAGTTGAAGTGCATGATTGCCTGTAGAGCATTTCCTCCGCCGGTTGAAATGTCTCCTTCGAACCCTGGCAGAAGCGGTATCACGACATATACCCGGTATTTCTGGTTTTCCCTGCAAAGGTCAGATGCAGAGAAATTCACCCAAAAAATAAAAGGTAGTATCAGCTTTAAATGACAGCCAAGCAATTCACATGGTTTTTGAGATTGAGTGAATGGCTTCCTACAACACGTCAACACGTTCTGTCACATTTCAGGACTTGGGAGGGGGGTGCTGTTGGACTGGAGGACAGAAGTTGTCATCCAGGCTATCGCTTCATAGCCTGAATAACAAGCTGAACTTGGCAGTAAAGTAGAAATTGTACCCATTGTCTCTCTACAGCATAATCGCTTGTAGGACAAAATGCAGTGTAAGAAATCCTTGCTTGGATCCCACGGAAAGAGGCAGGGAGAGGAGGCTATAACAAAGTTTAGAAAAAAGATGTTATCTTAATAGTTAACACAGTACCTAGCTAGAGTCATGGAAATAGTAGACATTCAGTTAATAATTGTTGAGTAAATCAGTTCTCATAGCCAAGATCTCAGGGGCAAAAAGACACACTGGATCTATTATATTTTCCAAAACAGAAGTCATCATTATCTGCTTAGAAACTCTGAGTTTTCAGCTGTAAAATGTTACCCTAGGCCCTTTAAGAATTCTGAGAGGCCGGCCGGGCGCAGTGGCTCATGCCTGTAATCCCAGCACTTTGGGAGGCCGAGGCAGGTGGACCACGAGGTCAGGAGATCGAGACCATCCTGGCTAACACGGTGAAACCCCGTCTCTACTAAATATACAAAAAATTAGCCGGGCGTGGTGGTGGGCACCTGTAGTCCCAGCTACTCGGGAGGCTGAGGCAGGAGAATGGCATGAACCCGAGAGGCAGAGCTTGCAGTGAGCAGAGATGGCGCCACTGCACTCCAGCCTGGGCGACAGAGTGAGACTCTGTCTCAAAAAAAAAAAAAAAAGAATTCTGAGTGGCCAATATGTACATTTAAGCCCCCTGCACATACAACACAGTATTTCATGTCCCACTGTCTCAAGTGATTAACGACAACCTTTGACGGAAAATGAATTCTACTCAATGATATAACAATAGAAGAAGAAAGTGTAGGTTTCCCTCTTTGACAGGCATTCAGAAAGTCAGAAATTTGAAGTATGCTCCAAATAGGTACCATTTATTCAGAATCAAAAGCTATTAACATTCTTGTCTCTATTTATAGGATATACAGGAAGAAGAAAAAGCCTCGAAAGGAATGTGACATACACTGTGATCAATGAATCTTGCCGGGATATCTGGGAGGACTACAGTCACACAAACGTGTGTTGTTATTGGTTAATTTTCAAGTCCGATCCTACTTAAACTTCTCATTTCTAAAGTGCATTTTCTTCTAACCAACTAAAATTTTCTCTCATGTGAATATTATAGTACTCTTTGGGGGATCAGATTTTATTACTGATGTCTCTGAATGTCGATGTATACATGAGGGCAAGTGGGAAGAGAAGTTCAGGGCAAAAATGACTACCAACAACGGAATTTGGAGGCCTGTGAGTTTGGCTGCCTTGCTAAGAAACAAAGAAATTAAGTAGGTTGTTGTAATGGCATAGATTAATCACTAGATGGCAAACATAGTTTGAGTTGGAAAGAAAACATTAAAAAATGTAAACTGTTCAAGTTTGCTGCTTGATAAGAATAAAAGGCTCATATCCCTATATGGTGAGCAGGATAGTGAAAAAGAACAGAAACAAACAAACAAACAAACAAAAAACCTAAGCTATTAAGCTATTTCCCCACAGCCAACATTTAAAACTCAAAATAAATTAAACTGGACACTTAAAAATGGATGTCATTTGGCCTCAACTGCCTTTTCAGAATTCAGGATTATACTGCCTTACAGTATAATCCTCCCATAACCACAGCCTAGTGACAGGAGACTACCACCCTTTGTTCAGAGGTACACCTTCCTACCAATAAAGCTTGGCTTATCAGCCTTCCGGGCCTCCAATGAATCCCACTTCTTCTAGGTCACCTTATCGGCTACTTCCTCTGCCAAGCCATCTTGGCCCTTCCAGTCCGAGTTGGTTTATTCTTGCCTCGGCACTCACAGCACATGGCTAGGATGTCTGTTCAGCACTCTTTCTGCTTCACACGATAGTGATACACACATCTGCTCTCTAGGCTACGTGATAAGCTCCTTGGAAACACAGGATGCCTGTCCACATATCTTTCTGGTTTTGATAGTGCTCAATTGAGAACCCTGCCTGGCACATGCTATACACTTGGTATTATTTGCTTTAGGAGGATGGGATCAGGTTGGAAAAATGTTTCTGGGGAAGTTTCTGGTAGAGAAGAGGCTAAGCTGAACAGGAGTTTTTTTCTTTAAATTAAATTACATTTTATTTGTAAAATGTATATAATATATTACATACTTTTTTCTTTAAATAAAGTTATATTTTCTTTAAATTAAATGACATTTTATTGTGGTAAAATACATATAATATAAAATTTGCCATTTTACCCTTTTTTTTTTTTCCTAAGATGGAGTTTCGCTCTTGTTGCCCAGGCTGGAGCGCAATGGCGTGATCTTGGCTCACCACAACCTCTGCCCCCCGGGTTCAAGCAATTCTCCTGCCTCAGTCTCCTGAGTAGCTGGGATTACAGGCGTGTGCCACCATGCCTGGCTAATTTTGTATACTTTTGTATTTTTAGTAGAGACGGGGTTTCTCCATGTTGGTCAGGCTGGTCTCGAACTCCTGTCCTCAGGTGATCGGTCCGCCTCGACCTCCCAAAGTGTTGGGATTACAGGTGTGAGCCACCACGCCCAGACCCCATTTTTAAGTGTATAGTCCAATGGCATCAATTACATACACAATATTGTATAACTATCATGATGATCTATCCCAAACCTTTTCAACATCCCAGACAGAAACTCGGTGACTATCCAGTCATAACTACCCTGTTTTTCCCTGCCTGTACCCCCTGGTAACCTCTAATCTGCTTTGTCTTTATGAATCTGCTGGTTCTGGATTTTGCATGTAATTAGAATAATACAATACTTGTCCTTTATGTCTGACTTGTTTCACTTAGCATAACATCTTCAAGGTTCACCCATGTTGTGGCATGTGTCAGAATTCCCTCCTTTTTAAGACTGAATAATATTCCATGGTATGTACATATCACATTCACCTGCTGATGGACACTTGTGCTGTTTCCACCTTTTGGCTATTGTGAATAATACTGCTATCAGTATTGGCATACAGTATCTGTGAGTCCCTGTTTTCAGTTCTTTGGGGACTATACTCAGGAATGGAACTGCTGGGTCATGTGGTCATTCTATGTTTAGCATTTTGAGGAACCACCAAATAGATTAATTTCAAATGAGTAACATATGCTCATAGTACAAAATGTAAGAGGTAGATGATTATACAGTGAAAAAAATTCTCTCTCACTCCTTCATCCTGAGGGCAACTCCTGTTAACAGTTTCCTCCATGTTCTTTTAGAAATAGTGTATGAATTTGTAAGAATATATGTACTTTTTCCTTCTACACAAATATTAGAATACTATAAACACTTTAAACACTTTTCTGAACATGATTTTTACCATTTAACAGGGTATCTTGGAAATCCTTCCACATCAGAACATAGTTGCTTTTTAAGAACAGGGACCATGTATCTGTACTTTAATATTTAATATTCTACCATGTATCTGTACTTTAATATTTAAACCAGTTCTCTATTGACAGGCATTTAAATTGCTTCTAATTTTGTTTCTATTTCAAAATAAATATTTTGATATTTATGTTGACTAACAAAAGTAATTTTTTACTTTTGTTGGAAAAATCTTACAAGTGGTATTGCTGGTCTTTTGACACAAATGTTTGTGATGATGTTTGTAAGAGACAGTTCTATTTTATCCTTTTTTAAAGCAAAAATGATTTTACAAGGGAGATCTCATATGTAGGATATTGAGAAATGTCCTATAAAAATATTATAAGACATTCTTGCAAATTTTAGTTTGTAGGAATCAGAATATTCACATTTTCTTCTTTTTAGGACTCTCTTAGCTCCATTTCAAACCCTTTCCTATTTTACAATATAGTAGCTCATAAATTTCCTGAATGATGAAAATTTTGAACTGTGTTCAGCAAAACTAGTGGAAACTATTTAGATTTTCACTGCTGTAGAAAAAAGGGCTCTGGAATTTCAAATGCAAAATTGTGGTTGAATGTAAGCCAAAGCACAGAAGATTCCATGGGACACTATGTCCAATCTGCCTCCTTGATCCAATCCACAGAGGACAAGAGTTCCAGCTGCTGAGGAATCTAATGCCCTTCGGAAATACTGAATCCTCACAACATGGGGGTTGGGGAAATGATAGCAATCAGCTTAGGGTAAGAATCTGAGCCCCTAGTGTATAAAATATATATGATCTTAAAAGCAAGATAATGGCTAGTGGGCACTAAGCCCCGGATAACTACCCATCATGCCAGCAACCACTTCATCCACATTAGTTCAATTTCTATAAAACAGCATTCTCAGGCTTCTTGTTAAACGTTTTTCTTCAAAATTCCCTAACTCTTATGGCAGTGCTATGTATAATAGCTAAAAATTGGAAATAAATGTCCAATAATAAAGGGATGGTTAACTACATTATGTTATAGCCATTCAATGGAATGATCATCTTGCAGCCACTAAAAATGACCACTATGAAGGCTCAGTAGCACGATACTGCTGGTACTGTGTTAAAATGACCCCAATGTAATGTTATAAGACAATAAAAATGTGGCAGGCCAATGCTACAAAACATTAAATCATTTTTCCCTTTAAATGAGTTAACTTCCCCCACTCTGTGACCGGAGAAACGAAGCAGGCATTTCTCCCGGGGTGGCCCTCTCACCCCGGAAGAGTGGTGAGAAGCAGGACACAAAAACATCAACTTCTTTTAGATTTGGGGAACTGGAGAGAGATTCTCTAAGCGGAGGCAGGAGTGTAGAGAAATGAGAGCAAGACTCAGGGCAAGGAATCAGTCCTTCGGCCTCAAGCTGAATTGTGGGGAAAACAGGATAGACCCCACTC